GACAGATGAACCTAGTGCGCCATAAGTCTAAAGCTTTTGGAAAATTTTAAGAGTTTTAAGTTTGAGGTAGAAAAGCATCTAGGAGTTCAAATCAAAACACTTTAGTCTACTAAAGTGTTTGGCTACCTGTCTGGTAAGTTCAGGTCTTATCTGATTTAAGAGGGGATGGTTTTATAACTGTCAACTCTAGGAATGCATTAGTTGAATGAAATTGCAGTATGCAAAAATCAAATATTTCTAGACTTGGTGAAGATCATGTTCAGTTATTCATCTTTGCCAATGTTGTTCAAGGCAGATGCCTAGTAAAAGAAAATTTACCTTCTTAACTTGGTTCTGTCAAAGTTTGTTGTAATGACACCTAAAGAATTATGGAAAGGGTGCAAGTCCAGATCAAACCATATTCGGATTTAGGGTGCTACGGCACACGTCCTACAACAGCAGTCAAATAAGATGGAATCTTGTATGGAAGAGTGCATATCTTTTGGCTACCCTAAGAGAACGAGGGATGATTTCTTATTTAGTCTTAAGGACAAGATAATCTAAGTGAGCACTCACATGATTTTCTTAAAGGAGGACTAGATGAGAAATTATAAGCACTTAAGTAAGGTTATTCTTGATGAGATTTATCTCCGATCAAGAATTTCCAGAATCTCTAGAAGCTTCATCCACTGTTCCCTTGATTGTTCAAGAGGGGATATATATATCTCTAGGTGAACAAACAAGAGAACCGTAATTGGAAATTCAACATGATAATATATAAGTGAAACTAGTAGAAATATTAGTATCATATGTAAAGGAACAATATCAAGGATAAGCAGATGCTCAAGAAATTGAAGATTTGACCCACTCTTTGTTTTACCTATAAATACACAAGGTCTAGTGCAGTACATTCGTAGTGGGAGAGAACCTTGTTAACTCTCAAGTTGTCTCTTGTTGAGTGACATTGATCCTACTAGTTTCGATAATGCACTAGAAGATGTTGTTGATCAAGTGTTGCTCAAGCTATGAACAATGAGATGAAATACTTGTATTTTAACTCCGTTCGGTCCTAGTAAAGACACCAAGAGGGGTAAAACCCACAAGGTGCATGTGGACATAAAAGGCAAAGAGAGGATGGACAGGAAGGTGAAAACCTTCAAAGCTAGCTTGGAGGAAAATTTTGCCAGACGCCATGCTAGAGTCTATCCAGATTCTCTTAGTTGCTATAAGTCTCAATTATGAGATTTCATTTTGGGAGTTGGATGTCAGGATATCTACATACAACAACCAAAAACGTTTATAGCAAATGGGTAGGAACACACGGTATGCAAGTTGTGAAAGTCTATTTCATAGACTTAAGCAAGCATCCAGGTCTTGGAACATCAATTTTGATCAGGTTATCAAAATTTTGATTTTGAGAGAAATATGATGAATGATGTGTATTTGTATGTAAAGGACTCAACGGTAGACAGTAGCTTTTCTGGTACTTTATGTAGATGATATGCTCCTTATTGGAAACAATGTGGAGGTAATGTCAAGCATAAAGAGTTGGCTAAGTTAGTGTTTTGGTATGGAAGTACTAGGGAAGCCAATTATATTCTTGGTATAAAACTCTTATGAGACCAGAAGAATAAGTTGTTGGCATCACTTCAGGCTACTTACATTGACAAAACTCTTGCCAAAATTCAACATGAAAATTCTAAGAGAAGAATTATAAATTCTCAGATGTTGAATTCATCTTCCTAAGGAGTAACCAAAGACTCCTGAGAAGGAAGAATGCATGAGCAGGATATCTTATGCTTTGGCAAAGGTAGTCTCATGCATATCGTGTTGGGAATTAAACCAGACATCTGTCACGCAGTGAGAATAGTGAGATGGTACCATTCTGGATATAGAGGAACACTAAGATTATTGTTAAGCATGTACTCAAGTATCTTTGGAGAACGAGAGATTATATGCTGGTATATTCTAGTGGGAGTCTTGAAAAGCTGAGTTTTCACAAATTCAGTTATTTCAAGTGGATATTGACTCAAGAAAATCAACCTCGAGCTATGAGTTTTTCACTAAAATCAGATAGCATTAGAGGTGGATCTTGCAGACCCAGTTACTAAGAGTTTGCCTGAAATTGTGTTCGAGAGGCATGCTACTTCTTTGGGTCTTAGGAGGATCCCAGACTTGCATTAAGCGAGTGTAAGATATTGGGTTCATTGTGCTCTTAGAGTAAGACAATGAAATAATGTAATCATTTTCTGAATTTTACAAATAAGGTATTATTTATTTTGCGCACTATTTACAAACATCAAGGTCCGGATCAAATTGTGGAGTATATGATCATATGGATACATTCATGGAGGACATGATCATAGGTTCTCAATATTGATGAATGGAGTCACAGCCGTTAAATAAAGTTGGGCACTTTATTTAGGCTGCGATATTTTATGAAATGGTTTTGTCCGGATCATTATAAAATATTGGTGTGAATTAACATTCACATTGAAAGGATCAAGGAGAGATTTGATTAAGGTTGTTTTTCTGTCATAAGGTATCAAATCTCCAGTTAACTAAAGTTATGTTATTGCTCTTAATCCTGAGTTTATTATAAATAGGTAATCAAATAGTTTTCATTCTTTGATTTACCAACGGGTGAGGTTCGATCTATTGACGGCCAATAACTCGGTATTTTGGGAGTTGGATTATTTGATTATCGGTATTTATGAGATAAACAACATGGAATTTGTAGGACATGTCCCCTTGATATGTTTCGGTACTTGGATATTAAAGACACTGGCCAGTGCATGTAATCCATTATAGAAACTATCATAGTCAAGGGAATAAATAATTGATTGAGTTACGGAAAACTTGTCAATCAATTATAGACATTCTACAAAGGGGCGATGCATATTCATGTTATAAAGGTCATTAATCTTGGAGTTCACGTTCGGGCTTTTAGTGGAGTAGCGCCGAATTAGATAATCTTTCAAAGACTATCAGAAGCCTTGATGAGTGACAAATGGTAGATCCCCAGGCTAGCTCGAGACAAGGGATGGGTTGTATAATCAGATGATGATGGCTTATGGGCTACATAGTCTTGGGTTTATGAACTCAAGTTTTGTGTCCAAAAGAGCAAGTGGGAGATTGTTGGGTTTAGTATGCTCTTTTCACTTAAGCCCAATAACTTTAGTGAGAGTGAGCCCAAAGTCCAATTATAACTCATGAAGCTTAGGGTTAGTTTTGGATTGGGCAGAGTATATAAACTCTCTTTTCTCTCAAGTGCCTCCAAGGGTTACAGACATCAGAAACACACCTAAGAGAACGGTTGCCCACACGCCGCCTGATCCCCTTGAGTCATAGCCTGGAAGATCAACCGTAGAGCGGAATTTGCGACTGTTCGTGGTGCGTTGCTGCAGATCGTGAGGCTTGAGGAGGAGAACTGAACGTGAGAAATTGTCACGCTCGCTGCTTCATCCCAGGTAATCAAAGCGGTGTTCTTCATTCCTCATCGCATCGGTACGATGCGCTTCCGCGTTTCTGATGATATACCTTCAAAAACAAGTTGAAGACTCCAACAATGGCGAACCATTTGTGAAGGTTTAGTGATTCAAGAGGCAACTTGACTTTTGGCAAGTATTAACTTATATATAGTGGTTAAATCTGTTGAAGTATCATCAAAAAATTATTTAGATTAGGAATTTATTGCACTTTTTATTGAAAAAATTATATCCCTTTTGATGTGTTGTTCGTTTCCCTTTCCCTATTACTAACAATCTTCAAATGGATTTTGACTATTTCATTTGTTGATATCCAGATGGGTTGATGTTAGGCAATTTATCGGTCCGAGTCAACTGCTTATTACATTTAAGGTGAATGATCTGTCTGATAAATTCTAATTTTTTATTTTGTTTATTCATTTTTGTTTAATGTTATGTCACACGCAGAAGGTCCTTATTGCTGGTTATTCGTTGAATTGATATCACAGTTGCTTCACTGAATTAAAAGTTGAATTAGATTCCTTGCAATTCAAGAAAGATTAGAATAAGAGTCATAAAGAGACCAAATTTCCTGTTCCCAGATACTTACACTACTGTGTAATGTTAGCACAAGAGTTAGCAATTCAAATTGCTCAGTTTGAAACCAGAAAAATAAATCCTAACAGCATCTCAGTTATTATTATCATTCTCCAGTTCTTATTTAGCTGCTATAAATGAAATATAAAGCAACATAATAGAACATCTATCCTATCTGCAACCAACCTGAATTCTTCAAATGGAACAGAAAATCCAATTTCAACAACCCCAAAGGAGAAGAAGAGATGGAGTTTTAGAAGATCCAAAAGGCACAGCCACACCACCAATAGCTTTAAAGGAATTGAATTCAGCAGAATCAAATGCCACTGCTTCACAGACAGTGCAAGCTGCCACGGATGCTCAGAATGAGCAGAGAAAGCATGTCATGGTCGTGGCTGCTGCGACAGCGGCAGCAGCAGTAGCTTGACTTCTGGTTCCAATGGAACATGTAGAAGTATTGAAGAAGATGCTGCCATTAAAATCCAATATGTCATGCAACAATGAGATGCATGCAACATTCATTATTATGGCGTTGTCTTTTTAGGGAGAAGGGGCAGGTTGACCGTATTTTAGCGGGGAGGATTTTGAATGTTAACAAGCAGCATTCATTCTATCCGCATAATTGGTTGGTAATGCAGATACTAATTATGGGTAAATTAAAACAATTATGTTAACAAGCATCTCAGTTATTTTTATCATTCTCCAATTCATATTCAGCTGCTATAAATGGAAAATAAAACAACATAATAGAACATCAAGTCGAACTAAAGCAGTGAAAAAAATTGCAACTTCAAGGAAGAAAAGTAGTGAAATTATTCTTCAACAAAATGATGTGTTTAAGCTCCATAAGCAGAGAAAAAAGAAAAACAAAATCACTCCTTGGATAGCAAAACAAGAAGCTAAGATCTGGTAGCCAATTATTCCCTTATCTTTCATTTACAGCAATCAAAAACTTTGTCAAATTGCAACTCTGATCACTCCATATTCAATAAGAGACATGTTATTATCTTCCTTAACAGTGAAAGTAGCAGGGTCTGCGACTTTAATACGGCCGGAGTTGTCCACAGCAAGCCTCATTGATCCTCTGTACATGATAATTTTGGCATTTCGCAGGATGAGAGTAGAGCCATTTTTCATCTGATCCACTTGATCATCTCTGGAAGTGAATACGATCATTGCTGTTTCATCACCCACCAAACTTTCAGCAATTTGCATATGACTACAATGAGGCCATATGATCTTAGTATCGACAACTTTCACAGTTAGAGTATGTCCACTAGTCCCCGGGCGAAGCTGCTGAACCTTGGTGGCGTTTTATTAATCTCAAAGTGTTTAGTACAAAATGGCAGAGATAAAATAAATACCTTTTGGTGGCGTTTCCGAAGGCTGCTCATCCTCGGTTAATACTGGCATTGTCGATCCTCCAGGTTTTGATGATTCTGCCAAATCTGAAACTTTGCAAAGGCCAAGAAGAGGGTGTTTGTTACAAAATTGGGGGAAAAAAAAACCAAACGTAGCCATGTTAAGTGTTAAATAATGTTCACTGGTGTTAGGTTAGGTCAATGTTGACAACTTTCATTCTTGATAAATTACAAAAACACAACGAAAACTTAAGTCGTTACATATAAATATATATTTAGGTTGATGTAAAATATAAATTATAAATTAAAAAATGTTACAACATAAAAAAATATTAAACTCTTAAAAAATATACTTAAGTAATTTATATATATTAATTAATATTTTATTCAGAAAATAAATAAATCATAATAGTATTTTTTTTAATTAATAAGAGAAAATAGTATTTTTTTTAATTAATAAGAGAGAAAAAAAGAGAACTAGATATTAAAAAAATAACAACGTAGAAGAAAAAAAAATTAATAAAGAAATCACGTATTTGATAAAATAAAAGGGAAAAAAACATATTATTAAAGTTGCAAATTTGATGCTGAGTTTGAGTATGTTCAAGCAAAACCGGAAAACAATGGGGGGCGTTTGGTTGAGGAGAAATTTTTTGAATACTAGGGAAATAGAATTGATAGAGAAATGGTAAGAAAGTTAGATAAAGTGAGATAGATAGGAAAATGTTAAAAAAAGTTGTTTGATGGGAAAAAACTTTACTGGGTGTTTTGCTTCATTTTCCTAGCTATCTTTGAAAAACCACATACAAATTGGCTTTCCTAACAGTAGATTTTCCTAGCTATCTACCACAAAATGCTGAAATCTATGCAAATCACTTAGATGGGGAAATTGAAGGAAACCGTGAACCAAACATGGCTAACTCCAGGTGGTGTTTGGTTGGGGGTATTCTTGAGCATGTCTATGCAAGTGAAAGTGGAAAAGCAAAACAGCCATGTTTGGTTCACAGTTTCCTTCAATTTCCCTATCTAAGTGATTTGCATAGATTTCAGCATTTTGTGGTAGATAACCAGGAAAATCTACTATTATGAAAGCCAATTTGTATGTGGTTTTTCAAAGATAGCTAGGAAAATGAAGCAAAACACCCAGTAAAGTTTTTCCCCACCAAACAACTTTTTTTAACATTTTCCTATCTATCTCATTTTATCTAACTTTCTTACTATTTCTCTATCAATTCTATTTCCCTAGTATTCAAAAAATTTCTCCTCAACCAAACGCCCCCTAAGAGAAAGAGATTCTAGAATATCACAATAATGCAAATAGTAACCTGATGATTCAAATCTAAACTTACATGCAAATAGTAACCTAATAATTCAAATCTAAACATAAATGCAAATAGTAACGTCATCCGATAATTCAAATGCAAATATGATCATATACTAACACTCCCCCTCAAGTTGGAGCATGAAGACATAAAGTGCCCAACTTGCTAAGTACGAAATGAAACTGCTTCTTGTCAAATGCCATGGTAAAAATATCGGCCAACTGGAATTCACTAAGAACATGCGAACAAGCAATATTTTTAGCAAAAAGTGTGTGTTGAAACTGTCCCAGATGACAAACCAAAGGAAAGCTTGAATGAGCTTCAATGGTGGTCAGGAACATAGACCCCACAACGGATAGTGGCGATAGCGAAATGGGGAATAGCTTCTTCAATCCTAGACCATAAACTAGACACTTGAGGCATTTCATGACGGACAGTGGCGGCAGCGAAATGGGGTATATCGTTCCTTGGAGAGATAACATTCTCGGGTGTCGTTCCTGTTCCCTACTCTGAGCTATGACAATCTTGACAACAAAATAAAAATAGTTTCTTGCAGCTTCGGTTCCATCCTAAACTGGGAACATTTTGCTGCCCAAAAATTTTCATATTTGGAGACCATAAACTAGACACTTGGGGCTTAAAATAATATATAATATGCCCCGTTTGGTTTAGGATTGAAGGAGATATGGCCGTCCTAAGTCAGTCATACTTGATAGCAGCGGCGGACCTACACTAGGGCAAGTGCGGTCATAAACATTATTTAATTTTTTTTTTATAGTCATGTGTACAACATACTTTTTAATAGGCATGTGTAATATCTCTTAGAAATGAAATATCTATCCCATGACCATTATCAGCTTTTTTCCAATTTCATAGCATTTGTGATCTAAATTTCATTGGTATTGCTGCACCGCTTAGAAATGTAAGCGATCATGTAGCATAAAGCATGATTAATTATATATGGCATGTACCATTTTCAATCATGGCATGCATAAAATTCATATAAATCATTAAAAAAAATTCTGCGAAACTTTATTTCAATTTTTTTTCCAAGGACGTTGTCTCTAAACCCCGTTACTAAATGTGCAGACATAAATAAAATTTTCTGGGTCCGCCACTGCTTGATAGGATTAAAAATTAACAGCATGGGTTATATAGGATTAAAAATGGCCAGGAAACCATTTTCCAGTGAGAATGCGTGTTCTAGTAGTTGATGACGACGAAGTTTGTCTCAAAGTGTTGGAAAAGATGCTTCGCGAATGCCAGTATCATGGTTTGTCACCTTTTATTTTCTCAATCAGAGTATGCATTGATTTTGCTAATTGTCTTGGAGTCATGAATTAAAGCATGTTTTCACGTGTGATGGACTAAATATATATTTTGTAGACGTTTTTGAGTTTTAGATGCTTTGTTCATGGATACTTTGTTTGGTCAATATATATATATATATATATATATATATATATATATATATATATATATATATATATATATATATATTGGTTTATAATTAACAGCATGAGTTTTAGAAATATGCCCCGTTTCGCTACCCAAATAATATGGGTTCGTCTTACTTCCTGTGGTAGGGCAGCCTCGCCTTCTACTACCAGTGGCAGTAGGCAAAGAATGGTCCATCTTTAAACCTTTATGAACATAATGTAAAAATATGTATAAAGAAATATGCAATACCACATATGCAGTCACTAATGTGCAATATCATATATAATTAAAGTGCAATTAAATGAACAAAATAGTAATCTCAATATAATTTACATCTCAAAGCAAATTGATCAATGTCTTTAGTACAACAAGTCGCAATAAACAAATAATAGGGAGTGATCAGCTGGATGAATCATATACTTCTACTTCTTCTTGCACACCTTCTTCTACGGTCACATATTCATCCATTTCAGGTTCACTATCCTAATAAATCTCTTGTTTCTCATCATCTAATTCCTCATTCTCCATATGGATAGGAATCATGTCTAACTCTGCAGCTGAATCAAAGAGATTACTTGGCACATCATCCTCCGCAACATTTACGGGCAGTACATCTTCCATGTCAGCTTGGAATGGTTCAGATATTTCATTTAATTGTGACTCTTTGGACTCTAGGATAATATTTCGGGCTTTGATTTTTATAAATGTTATCCACCCTGTTGGGATATAGGGTATAATGTGTAATAAACTTGTTCGACCTTATAATCAAGTATAAATGGGTCATATCCCACTGTATATCTCTTTGATTGATGAACCTCAACATTTCCATATTTATCCACTCTTTTCCCACGTGGGTGTTATCTAACCAATAACATTTAAACAGAGTCACCTTCTTTTCCTGTAACACCCCGTTCTAGAACCGGTTTGTTAACATTGCATTATGATATTAAGCGCAGTTACAATCACATTGGTTCAATTAAAAATCCGGATAAATTTTTCTTTTTGAACAAAGCCGAATTTAAAATAACCAATTGTGTGACCATAACCATATGACATTGTGGAATAAATGAAATTAAGCTTAACATCATATTCTTATTTTATTTGACCACGTGTTGTTAAATATCTTTAACTCTTTTCTTGTTATCTGAATTCTAACTTCCTTTATAATTCTTATCTCCTACCATATTATAGATCTCTTTGTTAGCTTCAAGTGGGTTCAAACCGTGCTCAAATCAGAGCTCCGTAGCTCGAGTTGTGTCAGTTTTACTAAACTACGTTTTTATAAAATTTTTGTGTAGCGCGTTTTAGCGCTCAACTGGGCGTTAAAACGCCCAGAGGCAGAGAATTTGGCCTTCTCCAGGTATTCAGCGTGCTTTAGCACTCAACTTGCGCGATTTAACGCTCAACTTATGCGCTAAAACGGCCAAGGGCAGAGATTTTCCCTCCATTTCATGAACACAGCGCGCTTTAGCGCCCTTATCAGCGCTGAAACGCTCTCCAACTGGGCAACACATGCCCTCCCTGTTTTCATATAACTTTATGAGAAAATTTCTCCCTCTTTCACCATCCTCTTAACACCTAATAGGCATTATACAACCACTTCAATACATAATTCTTAGCTATTTCAAGACACACAATTATCAAATAGGCATCCATGCCCTTCCATCATATCTACAATAAGTACCATATTACACAATATCCAAGTGTCATTAATACATAACCATGGGACTTAGCTACAAAACACTATGATCAAATCCTTGGCTCCCATCAACAAAAGAGACATCAAAGGAAGTGAGCATAGGCTAAGTCCACCAAAATAAAACATGATGTTCACATATCATTTGGCTTTCAAATGGGAATCCTATACATGGAACTACGAAATGATATGCATAACCAAAATAATGCAACATCCTCATGTATCAATCTAGTCCAAGTATGGCCACTTGCCACCAAAGGCTCCTGTAGCATCTATACCTGAAAGGGGGTCCTCACAACACAGGATGAGATATACGAATACATCTCAGTAAATCAGGGGTCCTTGGAGCATTTCTCCACCTATAGTTCACTCACAATATAATAGCAATAATCATAAATAATACAGTAAATACATATCCATGCAGTGTGTCAAACATCTCCAGGAGACATCCCTCGAGCTCTCATGTTGTCCTAAGGATACTCAGATGCAAATAGTCCTACTGGCCAGCTAAACTACCAAATGAATTACGCATCGTCATGCAATATACAGAACATACGGAAACACATCCTATGCCACACCCAGTGCATACACATACATATAACAAAGCATTAAACTACTCTATTGCATTTACATACACTATCAACAACCACTACCCGTTCCGGGCTTGGTGAAATAATAAAGGGATCAACACCCAAGGTTCGATGACTTACCTCAATGAGCTTCAAAGCTTAACCTTTGTTCACTACCAATGAGCAATCAACCAAGCTTTACAACAATACCAACAATCAATACCTACATAAAGGTACTAGACAATCTATCAAGGAAATCCAATGAATACCAATATTGCCATCAACCAACAAACCTATTCACACCACAATGGCATGAACTTACCAATTCAAGTGAGCTAATCAAGCTCCATGGCTTCCTCCAATGGTTGGTCCTTCAATGTTGGTCCACAAGGCTTAATCATATCACCATAAGGGACACAATCAACCATCCAACCAAATCATAGCTTAACAATGCAAGAAATTCCACATGTCCAAGCATGAATTTTTCCAATATATTGAACAACAACCAAAAACGACAATCTAAGTCCATTTCTCCCATTTATTTATCATTCCTAACAATTTTACAAAGGAATTTAACTTCAATCTCTCTCTAACATACCTCATTATTCATGCATTTTCTTAAAACAAAACCCTAATGCACAAATCTTCCAAAATGACAACAAGAGTTGGAGTTTTTACCACAAATACAACCCCAAGGGTGTAAGGAAGAGGCATCAAGCTCAAGGAACCAAGACTTCACCTCTAGCTCCACTATCTCCAAATTTTGCCCCTTTCACCAAGAATGTTTCACTCCACCATGGCTCCCACTTAAAAATAAGCTAGGATCAAGGATGAGGGGAAATTTGAAGTGGTTTAGGCTTTGGAATGGAAGGATTTGAGTAAGAAATGGATGAGTTATGGTTTAGAGCTCACAACCATGGCTTCTCAATTCTCCTTCACGGTTTGTGTCGTTGGAAGAAGAAGAAGAAATGAGATTGGATTTGTGTTTTGTCATTTTTCAAAAATTTAGAAGTTGGAAACGAAATCAGCGAGAAAGTTAAGCAGAAAACAAGAAAGTTTGCACAAGAGCCCCTTTAGAAATTTTGAAGAAGAAGTATGTGAGAACTAAAGAGAACGGTTCATGCAATATCAAGAGGTAAGTTTTTTTTCATTTAATTGTGATACTCTTGTATAGTACTTTAGTTGTGAGCCTCTGACACTCTTATATTTCTTTTTTTTATTTAATTGTGATACTCTTGTAAAGTCTTTCCATAAATTCTATAATAATTGCCTGTTATCACAAAAATAAAAATAAAAGTTCCAAGTTTTTTTAAAAGTTATTTGTAAACAATTCAAAACTTTACTTATTTGATTAAGAATGACAAAAAATAGACAAGGACATGATTGCTTCACTATTGCACTCAATAACCATAGACAAATGTTGTAAAACTTATGAAAACTATATTTATATGGTTTCATCTATTTTTGTTTTCAGGTTAGCAAATGATGGATATAGACACAATTGATTTTTCTCCCACGGACATGGAGACAAATTTCATTTCGGACAACAACTTGGTAATAGATTCTAACTCTCTTGATATGCCACAATCTTTTAGTGCTGAAGAAGTCATTGTTGAGCCTTATGTTGGAATGGAATTTGATTCATTGAAAA